GTGAGTGCCCATCTGAGCTGGTATTTAAGGAAGAAATTCAACCAAGTTAAGGGATGTTTCTGAATGCTTTGCAACCAGGTAGAGGTGAGGTCCACTGGTACGAGAGGTCAGGCTAGTGAGAATTCACTGGGCATTGTGTTTCCTTCCAATCAACAGTAGATATGCTAATTATATAAATGTTCTACATCCATGTGCTGTCCTGGAAAGGAACTATTTTATGGCTGACCAAGGTAGTTTGTACAAGCTCCTCGATATTAAATATTAACTTCTAAAATGTTTTGGAGTGCTATCTTCAAGGGGCCTGGATAGGGATAAATTTTGAGATTGTCTTGGAATTTTCCTCCCATTTCCATGTTGTGGAACTGCAACTGACTCTTTCAAAAAATACTCATTTATTTTCACTTTAATTGGGGTTTGGTTGGCAAAGAAAAATTTTACATATCCAAAATGTACAATGTAGTGTTTTGATACATGTACAGACTGTGAAGATTATCATATCTAGATAATTAACTTATCCATCACCTCACATAGTTACTATATTTGTATATATGATTAGAAAACTTAAGAAATAATCTCTGCAAGTTTCAAGTATACAACACATCATTATTCACAATGGCCACTGTGTCATGTACATTAGGTCTCCACGACTTATTAATTTTAAAACTGGGAGTGTGCTATGTACCCTTTGATCAAAGTCTTCCATCCCCCTACCCTGACCCCTGGTAACCACCTTTCCATTTTCTGTATAAAACTGACCTGTGAAGAACAAGCATTAACTTCTGGTTAATGCTGCCCATAGAAATAGAGCTAAGGAAATATCTGTCAGTGCAAAGGGCGTTAGCAATTGAATTAGGGGTAAAACAGGCTATCACAATAAGTCCTGGTATCCAATGGAACTATTTTGAATTCACAAAAGTAATGAAAATATATTTTGAATATAATAATTAAAGGTAGATTATTATTTGATTATTATCTGCTAAATTACTTTAGGTGGCACATTTGTGGATTAATATATTGGACTGAATTTGGGTATACCAGACAGAATAAAAGAGAGCCAGATTTTCAATGGGGTTAGGCTGCATAGTAAGAAAACTGAGGTTAAGGATAAAATCATCTTAAGGGAGGGAAAGATTTATGTCTTCGTTTTTTTCAAATGTTTTCTAGAAGTGTAGTGAATTTTCAAGGCAATAAAATGAACTCGAGTAGGTAGAAGGGGCATCATTATATTTTGCTGTGTCAAATGTTGTTATAGTAAAAAACAACTAGGGATTTTATTATTAGGGGAATTTATTATTATCCTTATTTGATTAAACAGGTGGGTGTTCTCCTCCCCAATTTCTCTCCTGGAAGACACCATCTAAGCAATGAACATGTATTTACTAGGTACTTGTCTCCTCTCATACTGAGAAATTTCTCATTTAAGTATTTGATATTAAAGCCCTTAAAAAGATATTAAAAATTTACCAACCCTGTGGTCTGTTGTGAGGAATATTTTATTTGGTGAATCTCTCCATTATTACCTGGTTTTCTCTAATTTCTTATGAACAAGTTGTCATATCACACAAAAGGAAAATAGTTCTGAATTTTACCTTCTTAGAAACCTTACCTCCTCCCCACAATAACAAAGAAGATTGCTTTAAAAGAAAATCTGAACATGACAAGATGCTGTTCAGATTTCTTTTTTTAAAAAAACTCTATATTTTTCTTTCAATTCAGATTTTTAAAAACATTCTCCCTTTGATGCCTTTTTTTAATTCATAAAGAAGGAATTTCTTCATCATTGATTCTATTCTTTGAAGCCTGGAGCCATTCAAATTAATTTTTATATACTACACTCAGTTTAGTAAAATATTTAGTGCTTCTTTAATGGTGTAAACCATTAGACTGTAATTACACCAACATGGTACGGAGACTAATAGTTCTGTTGGAATACTGCAATGATGCATGATGGCCTTATTAATATAATAGTCTTGAAACACTAAGAATATTAAAAAAATTAATCATTGTTACAGTCTGTATTTAGTTACAGGTTGTAAAAAAAAACTACTTCTAATTTTACTACTGTTCTTATAGCCTCTCAGAGAAGCCCTAAATAATTTCAATGTAAGTTAAGAAAGTTTTAAGCATGATTCGGTACACCTGGGTGGTCTAGCTGTGGCCTAATGAATTTTAAAACATCAATAATGTCACAAAATTGAGCTAGACTGACCTTAGTAATTATTAAAGATTGATCTACTGGTTCAAGGACATAACTTCATGGCTACTATAAGGCTTCAAAACAGGCAGATGGAGTTCAGAGGGAGCTGAATTCTATGCCTTCATTATTCATTCTTCCTACTAGATTGTCAACTAGATGAGGTGAGGGAACTTTGTGTAGTCTTATTAACCTAGACAGCCTGACCAATGGAAGGGGATTAATGAAAGGTGCACATGAATGATTGAATGAAGGAGCACTAGAACCCAATACATCAATTGGGCCATGCCTTCAGTGAGTTTAACCACTGGGCATTCAACGGCTCTAACTTTCTTCCTGCCTTTCGTGCTGTGCAGGCCCAACCACTTTACTTTTTCTCTCCTTCTGACATCTTTCCGTGGGAGGATGACAAGGGCTAAATTCTGAATTCTAATTATATTTTGGGTAATGAAGGAAGTGGATACATCTACTTTGTAAATTCCTACTGGAGTGTCCAGCACTCTTGGAGCTGTTAGTAAGGTTGGTCTTTGGTTTTGCTTTTTGTGTTTTCTTCTTTCTTTTTTTTTGGTATGGGGATTGAACCCAGGGACATGTAACTACTGAGCCACATCCCCACCCATTTTAAAATTTTATTAGAGACAGGGTCTTGCTGAATTGCTAAGGACCTTGCTACATTGGTGGGGCTGACTTTGAACTCTCAATCCTCTTGCCTCAGCCCCTCCACCCCGAGTTACTGGGATTACAGGTGTGTGCCACCGTGTTTGGCTTGATATTTGGTTGTTCATGGCAATTTTGTGTAGTTTTTGTCCCCACTACATATCCTGTCATCTTGCTACACCATCTGCCTATTGCTGAAGTTTTGGACTCCCAGTACCAGAATCTCAATGCAGATGTCGCTTTCTTCTCTAATAGTTTCCTTCTCCTTTTTATCCAAGTCCTCTAATCTGTCTTTTTTGAGTTAAATGATTTCATGTTTTAATTTTGACAATTTTAGCCCACACTATTAGAAACATCAATTTTTCTAGAGAAGAGAACCAATGCTTATTTCTCTCTTTCTGCAATATGACATATAGTAATGAATACAGTTTTTACCCTTGTTTTTAGCTATTAGTACTCAATAATGTCAACTGACTACCTCTCTAATATTTGATTGGCATTTAAAATGAGACGATTAGACCTTGAGAATCTTGAGCTTAAATAGCACGGGATCCACCTGTGGTTGTGTTGAGCATCTATCTTTCTGAATTAACATATCTAAAAATCACTGTGAAATCCACCTCCGAACTACAAGCAACTCCTAAATGTAAGAATTAAATATCATCTGTTGTAAGCCTCATGATTACTTCAGGGCTACCTGACCTGAGGGCTTTCCAGGCAAGGACAGGTAGGCTGGGTGGTTTTTCTGAAAAGCAACTTGCCCCTTGGTACACAAGTGTCTGTTCAATTATTTAAACAGAGTTTTGAGCTCTTGCTGAGTATAAGATGCTAAGTTGCTGAAAAGTAAATGATAATGATAAATCTGACAATGATTTCTTCACTGAGGACCTTCAGTCTGAGGAAGGAAGGAGGTAGATTCATTAATAGAGAAAATATGTACATTAAGGAGAGTAAAGCCCTTTAGAAAATAGTCCTTGCCTTGAAGTTCAGTAGGAATTCTGAATTGGTGGGATTTCATCTTTATCTCTTCCACTCTTCATCTCACCATCTCCACCATGTGTTGTCACAGGAGATTGGAAATACAGCCTACACTGTGAGGGGGCCTGTTCTGCTTTTATGTTGTGTTGAGAGCCATGGCCAGGTCAAGAGGGTGCCTGGCATTTTGCCAGAAGGAGCGGTTCCTGCTGCCTCCCTCAGGTGCTCGCTATTTTTGAGCTCTCGCGGAGTTCCTAGAGAGTTTACGTGCTTACAGAACTTGTCTGGACTATGTGTCACCTGTATGCATTGTGAACTATCTGTTGGTGCAGTGAATTGTAGTAGTGCCGGGGTATCTTTCTGATGATGTCATCGGTGGTATAATTTTTCCAAAAGGGGCCGTCAATTGGCTTGGTGGTGTTTTGTATCTTCCCCTTTCTGCTTGTAGCAGGTTATTCATAGTGTTTGTGTAAAAACCACTATCTACAAGTGTGACTAAAAGCTGGGCTGGTAGTCAATGACGGGTAAGATCCAATTGCAATGGAACCAACCTAAGACAGGAGGCTGACGCCTTGAGGTCAGCTCATCCTATGACGGGTAAGGACCATATGTAGTATTGGACAACCTAGACAGGCACAGTCCCTAAGCCACATACTGATTGTTTAATTAAACAAAAGGAGGGAGATGTTGAGAGCCACGGCCAGGTCAAGATGGTGCCTGGCATTTTGCCAGAAGGAGCGGTTTCTGCTGCCTCAGGTGCTCGATATTTTTGAGCTCTTGTGGAGTTCCTAGAGAATTGGCGTGCGTTGGTTTAGTTCTGTTTGGGCTCTTTCGGAGTTCCTGGAGAGTTGGCGTGGGTGGTGAGCAGTGTGGGTTCTAAAAATGAAGTTTGTTCCTGCTTGAATCTTCAAGTGGTTCCTGATTTGTGCCCAGCCAGACTGCGGCAATGTTGTTTGGCACAAGTCTGTCTTCCTGAAATTTCCACAGTGGATCCTAATTTAATTTATAGACTCCATCCAAAGTTAAATCCAAAGTTAAAACTTGCTGACAGTTCTCCAAGTGTTTGACAATAGTCATGAAAACATGGCTAATATTAATTCAGAAATTTAAAATGAAGACATTTCAAACATTTATATGTGGATCTTGCAACCTTCACAACACTCTTATTTTACAGATGAGGACACGGAGCCAAAAGGAAGCTGAGTGACTTGCCTGAGATGGCCGAATCTGTGAGGAGCGGGATTGAGGTTTGAAGCTAGACCTGTGGTTCCAGAGCCCTCACGGCTTCCTTTTCTTCTGAGACAAAAAAATTTCCTAGGTCTTTGTAAATCCTTCATTATCTCATTGCTACTCTCAGAGATTTTATTTTTTTCTATATAATTTGAAGTATGTGTCCAAAGGAGAAAAGTATATTCCAGTTGTTTCTGAACATACTTGGAGTTATATGGAATTCACTTACATGCACTTAGAGATGCTATGGCCATCACTAAGGTTTCTGTTACTTTGTAGCCTTGTCTCCCAGAATCTCCTAACCTCTCCATTCCTTTGCATAAACTGTGGAAATAAATGAAAAAACATTCTCTTTTATCACACCTTGATCACACTTTTCTGAGCCCTCTTTTCAAATAGGGCCCAATCTTCAGACTACCCTATCTGACTTTATATTGTTCAGTTTTAGCAAAATTCCTCTTGGATTGGTTTAGCAGGAATGCCCATCCTTAGCCAGATGTGGAGGTGTGCGCCCCGACTGTAATCCCAGTGACCTGGGAACCTGAAATAGTAGGATTACAAGTTTGAGGCCAACCTCAGCAGTTCAGTGAGATCCTATCTCAAAAAAAAGAAAAAAGCTGGGGGTGTATCTCATTGGTAAAAATACCCCTGTGTTCAATTCCTAGAATCCCCCCTCAATAAAAGGGAAGAAAAAGAAATGTCCACCCTTCATATCTGATTATCCTTGGTAATCTGATCAGATTTTATATAGCCCACTCTTGTAATGTGATCAACCTGACCTGCCTTCAGGAAGAGTCCTGCCAATTTGATGGAGCCAGAATTTGCCCCTTTTCTTTCTGTTTCCTCTTAGTAATTTTCTATGTACTTACTCTACCCTGTTTCTTATCTATGATGTATTTGGACTTATCTATGATGTATTTGGACTTGAATTCCGATCTATACTGGAGTTTATTTCCCCTGTTGCAAAAGTTTTGGTTTTTTTAAAAATAAAATTTATCTTCACTTTATTTCCTGTCTGGCTCTGGTGGTCTTTAACTGCCTCTTAATTGTGTCTTGAACTGGGTGGCATCCGGTGACCATTGGAGCAGAAATCAAGAAATAAAAGCTTCTCTGGAAGAGATTATATAGAAACAGGGTTTTGAAAGGTGGGCATAAAATTTCTTAAACAGACAATTGTGTATGGGAATAGAAAGCACTTCAAACAAATGGGCATCCCAGGCAGAGACATGGACATCGGTTTCAGCTTGGAAGGTTTGGAGCACCCATAAGCAGTTCAGGGTTATCTGAGCAAAATATGGCAGAAGAAACAATGGGACTGGAGAGCACTTTGGTACTGAATAGATATTACTCTGAGACTCCAGTCCATGGATTTGAGCAGTGTAAAGACACGTTGAGATCTGTTATAGGATTGGTTCTTTTTATTTATTTATTCTAATTTGTTAGACATGATGGCAGAATACAACTTATTTCATATTACACATATAGAGCACAATTTTTTAAGTCACTGGTTGTACACAAAGTATTTTCACACCATTCATGTCTTCATACATGTATTTAGGGTAATGAAGTCTAACTTATTCTACCATTATTCCTACCCCCTGGCTCCCTCCCTCCTCATCCCTCCCCTTTGCCCTATCTAAAGTTCCTCCATTCCTCCCATGCCCCCCATCACATCACCACTATGAGTCAGCATCCTCATATCAAAGTCAACATTCGGCCTTTTTTTGGGGGGGTGGGATTGGCTTGCTTCATTTATTGTGTTTGTATATAGTAAGAAGAATGATAAATAATGGAAAGAAGAAATACGTTTTCAAATGACCCAGGGGCACTTAACTATTGAGCCATATCTCCAGCCCTTTTGTACATTTTATTTAGAGACAGGGTCTCCTTGAGTTGCTTAGGGCCTCCCTAATTTACTGAAGCTGGCTTTGAATTTGTAAACCTTCTGCCTCAGCCTCCTGAGTTGCTGGGATTAAAGGTGTACCCCCACCACCTCACCTCAAAGTGCCATATTCTTTACTACTCCCCTTTGCTTGTTTATATGGCTCCATGGGAAGTCAAACCAGTACAGGAAACTATCACAAAACCCTTGCGTGTTAGTTCATTTTAGTCCTAAATTAATAAGATTGAGTTGAAGTTTTAGGGGAGGAAAAATAAACTTTTCCTCTACCTGCTGAGGGCCATTGCCAAGTAGGATTGACGCATCAAAATTTCCTTGCCAGCGTACCCCATGTTGCTTAGAGGACATTCGCTGGGACATTGCATGTATGCTTTAGTAAGGTGACCTTGCTCAAGGACCGGGCGGATCCGGGTTTAGAGATGATCAGGTTTTAGGGAGTATCCCATCTTTGGGTTTAAGGCGTCCCGGTTTAAGACAATATGGGTTTTAGGGAAGTTCGAGGTTGAAGATTATTGCTGCTGGGAATAGGGCGTTCCTGCTGCCTGAGTTCCCACTGAGTTCTCATGGAATTGAGAAAGTATTTTGGGATGTGAATTGTCGGGCAGAAAGGAGATTTCCCCTGAACGTGTGTGGAGGCCGGTGTGAGTTCGGGAATAAGGAATTGTTGTTTGAATCTACAAAGCTGTGAGTGGCTCGTGATCTTGTGCCCAGCCAAGACATTGGCATCTACCTTCTTAGGTTCAGTGACCAAAGATCTGAAAATAAAAGACAGATCAAACAACAGAAAACCTGATTTTTAATTTACATACTACATACATTCACACAGGAGAAACCCAATGATGAGTGACTCAAAGGGATGCTTAGAACTTGTGCCTTGTGCGGCATCCTAAGGAAGAACAGTAAATTTGTGAAGTGACAAAACAAAGGAAAAAAGATTAGGATTTTAAGGGTAGTGAGCTGTGGGAAAATGAATAAAGGGGAAAACTAATGGAAGTTGAGGGTGTTTAGTAAGATTTGTCTCACAGCTTCCCTTGATGCTGTCCCAGGACTAGTCTGGAGTCACCTCTGATGATTAGTGGTCGACACCTCTTTCTGCTGTAAAAGAGACAGATGAAATGTATATCCTGCATTTGGCCAGTTATGAGGAGGGCAGAGAGCTTGTATTCTGCATCTGTTGTTTCTTACTTGCCTTCAGATCAGCTCAAAACCATCTCTAGGACCACGTGGCATTTTGGAGGACAACATCTTCTAGTCCCCTACAGAGCCCAGGAAAATAATTCTAGGAATCATTTTATTCTTTTATGGTGATAAAGATATTTTATAACCTAACCAACAAAGAGTGAATTATTTAGTAATTGATGAGTATAGACAGTCTCACAAGGAAAGAGCAATTGAAAAAAGAAATGAGAATCATGCACAGTAATTATTGATCAAATGCTTTTTGATTTTATTTTTATTTAAAGAAGTGAATTTTCCATTTCTGTGTTTTTATACATTCTTGGGATAGTCCCATTTTCATCTATTGATATAAATCATTCTTAAATATGCCTAATTTTGCTAATGGCGTAGTTTAAAACATAAGGCCTGATCTTTACATGATTTGTCCTGGAAAGTTCCAAAATGTGTTTAAAATACTAACGCTTCTCTTTGAAGCTATGATTAACTACATTCCATACCTTTGGATGAAGCTAGAGTTCTGATCAATATTTAATAATGATTATATGGTAAGTGGGTAGGTATGCTCATTAGAACAGTAAGTGAGGAAAGGATGCATTTTAATGGAGAATTAACAAATGGAGCTCCAGGGCAGGGGATATTTGCTTTAGAGATTTGTTGTAATTTAAAATAAGGTGTCTTAAATATAGCATTTCATGCATTTCTTTTAAATGACAAATTGTGTCCTAGATCTAAAACTGTTACCATTATTATGATGGATGTGAATTGAGATGGGGTCTGAACAGCTTAAATAAATTAACATACTGAAAACACTGCTCAAAACAATTTGGAATGGCTTCAGCTTCTAATTCATTCAGACACAAGATGTATTTTCTATGTCCTTAAATTCAGTTGCCTAAGTTAAAAGCCTAGAAACCTTTTTTTCTCCATGAGGTCGAGTAAGCTCAAGATCTCCTTCTTGGTTACAAATTCAGACTTGGAAAAAAAAAAAAAGACTCTTCTCAGGTCTAAAAGCCATTTCCATTGATCAAAAAAAAAAAAAAATCAGTGTAATGGCAATTATTGTAAATCTATGGAAAACTGTAAGACCAAGCTCAACTGGTCCTTAGGAATAACATAATCCCATAAGAGGATGAAGCAACAGTTGATCCAAAGGAGAAAAATCTACATTCTAAGTAAATCAGAAAGGGAACAGGTGGCAGTGTTCTAGGAAAGCCAGCTTAAATTTTACTACATGATTCACTGTCAATTTATAATAACTGCATTTTACATCACATTTTTAATAGGAATTTTATATTTCCTATTTCTCTTCTTATATGTTCTTAATCATAATAACCATAACTTCCGCACTTCAGTGGGATTAGCATTCCCACATGAACTAGAACTATTAAATCCTTAATAGTCTCTCTATGATTTTTCTACTTCACTTATTATGACACTTTAATAATATCAGAGTTTAGGTATTGCAAAATATTGCAATTTATACTACTGAGTGCCAAAAACAATGCATCAATAAGGCAAAATTTTAAGTGAGAATAAAATGTTAAACAAGGTAATACTACATGGGAAAAGCTGCATGAATTAACTCTAAATACTATTATTTTTTAATTTTGATTTTTAATTTTTCCTTCTATCTGATTATGTAGGATAACAAAGACATTGTAGATGATTTTTATAGGGTCATTTCTGATTCTTACATTTTATGTGAAAGTCCTGTTGCTATAGCAAGTAGTTATCTCAAATGTTAGGTAAGTTGAAATCAGTTTACAAGTTGTACATTTTAACTTTTATTCTAAGAAAGTAATAAGTACGATGTGTATGTGTGGGGTCGCAGAGTATTTGGCTTTTACAACCCTGCAAGATTCCTAATATCCAGATTTCACATCCAATTCTACTCTGGGGGCCTTGTGCACTTTTATTTCAAAGCTCTCTATGTCTACATCATCACTTTTCTATCTTACATAAGGACACAAGGATGCAAGCTCCTGCCATCTTGTTGCTCTACCCTGTGGTCCAAAACTATTTTGCCACCAATCATCCTTTCAAGCAGCAATTGATAAAAAGCATTTTAGAAGTTAAAATGAAAACACCTTCTCTTCTTAAAAGCCTAAAGGCATTAAATATTTATAATCACACCCTTTGGCCTGAACTCTTGACATTAGTCTAATGACCTTACTTGAAATGGAATAGAGGCTGGGAAATGTCATGTTTATTCTCAGCAGCCACACAACTAGTTAAAGATTTTATTACTGGGGAAGAAAGGGGTGTAGATCTAGGAGGAACT